GGATCTCCAAGATGCCATCTCCGCGTCCATGGTAGCTATCCACTGAGAAGCCCAGGGTCCCGAGGTCGCCTCAGCGTAAGTGTGAGGGGTCAGGATGTCAAGGGCGTCTGGGTCACCCTCAAGGACTAGCAGCGTGGAGCAGAGCTGAGGAGCAGCCTCGTACAGGAAAGCTAGCTCGTATTGGCTGTCCTCTAGGGCGTCACCGCCAAGGGCAGGTGCACCCTCGATAGACGGAGGACGGGTAGGGTCAGATTCCAAAGGAGTAGCATTTTCAAGGCAGCGGGTAGAGGCAAAGTCAGCAACGGCGGCAACATAAGCATCAAGACTGGAGATATGAATGGACGGGTCGATTACAAGAGAGGCGAGGACCCGAGGAACAAGAGGATGAGCAACGATGAAGGAAGTTAAAGAGAGGAGGTAGAGAGACAAAGGGAGGACTGAGGAGGCGACGAGAGAAGAAGAGCACAAGACACGTGAGAACGAAGCAACATAGGCTGAGAACGCTGAACCGGGGAGATAGGACGAGCACGAGAGGGGCGACGAGACCAGAAGTGGGACGGAGGCGTCGGTTCAGGAGACACAGGAGGAGAACGCAAGGGAAAACGAGTAGGGGAAGAGTCCGGCGGAGGAAACACAGGGCCGTAGACAGGCGGCGGAGGCGGCACTGGGGGAGGCGCGGGCTGGCGGTCGGGGGAGGGAAGACCGGGGAGGCAAAGGGCGGACACCGGCGGCGACTGCGGCTGATGCTGCTGCTCCGCACCCACACCCGAACCTCCAACCGCATCACTTCGACCTCCAGGACCCACCATCACAGTACCTCTAGGACGAGCACCCTTAGAACGAGAACCTTCTCCAGCACCTATGCCACCAGCAGGACCGCTGGGACGAGCCACGAAAATAACCCCAGGACTAGCACCCCCACAATGAGAACCCTCTCCAGCACCTGTGCCACCCCCAGGACTGCCAGGATGAGCCACGACAGTAACCCCAGGACTAGCACCCCAAGAACGAGAACCCTCTCAAGCACCCGTGCCACCCCCAGGACCACCAAGATGAGCCACGATAGTAACCCCAGGACCTGCACTCCCAGAATCAGCACCCTCCCCAGCGCTCGCACCCCCAGCACCCCCAGACCCCTGTGGTTGCGGCTGCTACGGCGACGACGACGGCTGCTGCTGCGACGGTGACGATGGCAGCGGCGGCAGGGACTGCTGCTGCATAGGCGAAGGGAACACAGGGGTGGAGGGCGCAGAGACAGGCTGCGGACCCTGAGCCACAGAGCCCCCAGAGTCAGCGGACTCCTATGCCGGGGCAACCGAGGGAAGGGGAGTGACTTGAGACACCCTAGACGAGGCAGGACGAGGAGCGGGGGCAACTGGGGGAGTGGGGACAAGAAACAGGGGTGGGGTGACCTGGAGCCCTTGGTGGGGGAAGCGGGAGTGAAGGGGACAGACTTGTCAAAGGTGACGTCATGCGAGTAAAAGAAGCGGTGAGACGGCGGGTGGTAAAAGTGCCAGTCAGACATGTCAAGGGGGAAGCCAAGGAAGACACAAGGGACGGTGTGGGCAGTGAGCTTGTCCGCGCCAGAGGCGCGAACGTGAGCGAGGCAGCCCCAGACATGGAACACAGACGCGTCACCGGGGGACCCGGTCCAGAGGAGGGTCGGCGAAATCTGTGGCCGCTGGGAGTGTGGCCACAGGTTAAGCTGGTGAGCGGCGTAGCAAACAGCGAACGGCCACAGAAAATGGGGTGCACGGGCATGGATCATGGATGTACGAGCCACCTCCATGACCAAACCGATGCATCGCTCAGCGACCCCATTCTGCTGTGGGAAGTCCGGCAGGGTGTACGACTGGGTGATGCCCTCCGCACGACTGCACCGGACAAGCCGACTAGAGGCAAACTCACCGCCATGGTCAAAGTGGAGTCGAAGCACCGGCAGGCCGCAGTGTACTCGCGCAGCTACAACCCACGGGATAAGAACGTCAGGCACTTCGGCCTTCTGTTCCAGGGGATACACCGTGGTGTAGCGCGTGTAGTTGACGACAAGCACCAGAAAGTACCGCTCGCGACGCGACCTGAGGACGGGGGCTGGGCCCCAAACGTCAAGGTGCAGGGTCTGGAGTGGCGCAGTAGTGCGGGGAAACGAGGAGGAGTCAGGAGCACAGCGCAGGCGGCCCTCGATGCAGGGTGCGCACGGAGGCGCGGGCGAGGGAGGAAGGCAAGGGAGCGATGTAGGGAGACCTAAGACAAGAGCGTGTTGTGACATATGACGCAGACGTGGGAGTGCAGGGTGGCCTAGGCAATGATGCCACAACACGGATGGGTGAGTGAGCGATCGGCACGAGCAAGCCGCAACGACCTGAGTAGGCGCGGCCACCTGGGGGGACGCTCCCACCAAGGGGGACGCGGTGTCAAGTGTGAACAGGCCGTACACCGGGTCCCGGGGGAACGTGGTGAGGAGAGCACCAGTGGCGGCCTCGATATAGACTGTGTATCGCTTGTGTCCATGGAACGTAGCGGTGACGCCGAGGTCCTGAAGACAGCCGACACTAAGTAGGTTCTTGGAGAACGAGGGGATGTGCAAGCCTATAAGGGAGCCCGAGGGAACTGCCAGACAAGGAAGGGTGGTGGAACTACATGCAACTACCGGACCTAAGGAGGGGTCAGCAAGTGCTTCAGCGGCAGGGGCGGCAAGCGGCATGAGTGTAGTGTGGTCTCGAAAGAAACAGGCAGATGCACCAGAGTCGAAAGTGAAGGAGAGCGTGGAGGTAGCGTCAGCCGGCAGGGGCGCTAGCATGGAGCCTAGGCTAAACAAAGCAGGGGATCCTATGCCAGACACAGTAGGGGAGCTTAGACTACACGCAGTGGACACACCTACGCCACCCGATGCTGAGCTGCACGCGACGTCACCGTGACCACCACCACCAAAAACGCCAGGCCACCATGGCGGCGGAGGTCCCCACGGCTGCTGCGACTGCTGTTGCTGCTGCACCTGCTGCTCCTGCTGCGTCGGGGCATCAGCCCAGGTCCTCTCGTCTGCACCACCGGCACCCGCGCCACCTCCACCACCACTGCCACCCCCGCCACCCCTCCCTCCGCCACGCCCCCCTCGGGACTGCGGCCCCTACTCGGACGAGGTTGCGCTAAGGCCGCTGCGGCAGTCCCAGAAGCAGGGGCTGTCTCAGCGACAACGGCAGAAACATCAGCGTAAGTGCATTAGGAGGGGGCACAACCCTAGAAGATAGGGACCGCTACAGTACCGCTAGACTGAGTGATAGCACACTGGCAGGTCTCTATCGCTGACAGGGTGGTGACGAACTCGGTAAGGGTGAGGTCAGCGAGGTGGAGACCGAGGAAGTGGTCGAGGGCAGTGGCTAGGCGGTCGGGAAGGCGCGTGGCAAGAAAGTACAGGGTAGCGCCGAGGGGGGCAGGCAGTACAGTGAGCTGGGTTTCAGTGCTAGCAGCGCAGTAGCTAGTCTCAAGCGCGCGCAGATGAGTGGCAAGATCAGCGGCAGTGGGGAAGGACGCAAAATCAGGAAAGAGCAGCGGGAGCAGGAGACGGCCGTCACACGTGGAGGAGGGAGTGGAATAGCGCGCAATGACAGCATCTAAGAAGTCCTGCGCAGTCTCTACCGTGTGAAAACGGGGACGCTCGAACTGGGGGAGGGCGTGATTGATAGGAAGCGGGACAACTGCGTCGCACGACTCCCAGACAGAGCGGGCAAGCTCAGCAGCTGCAAATGCCTCATGCTCAGCGGGCGTGGGGGCGTCAGGGAGGGCAGCAGGCGGGTCAGGGCAGGGAAGCTTACCGTTGACATGGACGGCCAGGGATTGTCCGTCTTGGCGCTGACCCTTCAGCTGGCGGTGGAGGTCAGCGAGCCACGCCTCGAAGTCGATCGCACGACCCTCCGCGTCCAGGCGGAGCACAGCGTCTGCCATCACCACGGCTGCAGCGGCTGACGGCGGCACGGCGGTACGGCGACACAGTGACCCAGCGGCACGGCGGCGGCCTAGCGGCACGGTGGCACGGCATCACGGTGGCACGGCGAGCTGGGGCGGCAGGAAAAAGGGCCGGCGGGACTGGGGCTGGCTCGAACGGGGGCCGACGCAAACGCCGGGGGGGGGTGGCGGCGGCTCGAACGGGGACCGGTTCTAACGGGGGGCCGGCTCGAACTGGGGACCGGCGCGAACTGGGGCCGGCGAGCTGGGGCCAGCGCGCTAGGGCCGGTTAGCTAGGGCCAGCGAGCGCGCGAGGGGCAGCGAGCGAGCTAGGGGCCGGCGAGCTAGTGGCCGGCAAGTGAGGGGCCAGCGAGCGAGGGGCCAGCTAGCGGGGGGCCGGCGAGCACGGGGCCAGCGAGCGCGGGGCCGGCGAGCGCGGGGCCGGCGAGCGAGGGGCCGGCGAGCGCAGGGCCGGCGAGCGCGGGGCCGGCGAGCGCGGGGCCAACGAGCGAGGGGTCGACGAGCGCGGGGCCAACGAGCGAGGGGCCGACGAGCGAGGGGCCGGCGAGCGAGGGGCCGACGAGCGAGGGGCCGGCGAGCTAGGGGCCGGCAAGAGAGGGGCCGGCGAGCTAGGGGCCGGCGAGCGAGGGGCCGGTGAGCGCGGGGCCAGCGAGCGCGGGGCCGGCAAGCGCTGGGCCGGCGAGCGAGGGGCCGGCGTGTGTGGGGAGCGAGCACGGGGCCGAAGAGGGAGGGGCCGACGAGCGAGGGGCTGGCGAGCAAGGGGCCGGCGAGCAAGGGGCCGGCGAGCGAGGGGCCGGCGAGTGCGGGGCCAGCGAGTGCGGGGCCGGCGAGCGCGGGGCCGGCGAGCGCAGGGCCAGTGAGCGTGGGGCAAACGAGCGTGGGGCCGACGAGCGAGGGGCCGACGAGCGTGGGGCCGGCGAGCTAGGGCAGCTAGGGCGGGCTAGGTCATTAGGGCGGAAGCACGGGTGGGCAGTTCAAACCGAGCTGATACCATCTCAGAAAAACCGAATAACTAGAATGAAGGCATACAAGGGAATATATGTTTGGATGTTGTATTCTATAAGAGCACGAACCCTTCTAGCCTATAATTGCTACATATACAAATTTGTATAAGTTGACAGTCCTACCATCTAAATGTGGCATGCACGACTTTGTGGCACATTTGACAATTTTGTCAAGCTCGTCTTGTCGCAAATTCGTCGCGTCGCGCATTTTGCATCCTGATCGTCAAAGGGCGAACCGCGCTATGGTACAAGTTCCGTGTCACCTTGAACCCCTGTATTTTGCACCTCTTTTTTGATCGCAGGTCAAAACGGGACGAATGGGGCATGCGTTCGAAATTGCTGAAAAACCATTTTGGTCCGAAATTTACCGCGCCCTGAAGCTAACTATTCAGTCAGGAGTTGATACAAAGTCCAACGACACCGAGATTACACAAGGAAGCTTGTGTCGTCTAGGTCTAGTGGGAGGCCATGGCAGCTGGCGACAGCGTGTCGAGCTTCATGTCCCACACCCACCCGCTCTCAAACCTGGGGCTCGCATTCAGCACCGACCCTCCATGCCCAGGCGCATGCCCATGGCTCTCCTGCCCATGCTCGAAGCCATGGCTCCCCATATCCCCATCCTTGGTATACTCTCCTCCGTTGGGGTTTCCATGAGGGTGTGGCGCTGCTGCTGCTGCTGAGCCCAGCAGGGGGGCGAAGTGTGGGGAGGCGAGGGGAGGGACTTGAGAGAACGGAGGGGTGAAGGCGGATGTGAGGGAGGGTGTGAGCAAGGGCACTTGAGTGGGGGTGAGTAGTGATGAGCCATGGAACTGATACATCAAGGGGATCTGCTGTGCGAGCTGCTGCTGCTGCCCGTTCTTCTCTCCCTGCTGCTGCTCACTCATTCCATGCTGCAGAGTCTGACTGCCTGCTTCCACGTCTTCTTGGCGTCCCTCCTCACTCCCATGATCCAACCATGGCTGCAGATGCTGCTGCTGGGCTCCCTGCAGCATGCCCCCAGTCGCCTCCTGCATCCGTGCGCCACTCCCCTCCGCCTGCATGTCTCCGCTCCCCTCCACTCTCCTCACACTCAAGAACGGCCGGTAGATCTCCACCGTGATTGGCCGGTGGCTGCGACACCCCCTTCTCCCTTTGGCTCTGATGCGGCTCCCAGCCCTTCCTGCCATGCTCACTGACGCCCCATCCGACTGCACTTCCTTTCCATGCCCCACTCCCCCCACTGCTGCCACCTCCACATCTCCGCCTCCCTGCCCGCTCCCCTCTCTGCCCTGATCCCTGTGCTCCCCACTGCCGCTGACAGCTGCCTTGCTGCTTCCCTTCTCCTCTCCCACCTCCTGCTCCCAGTTGCCTTGCTCTCTCTCCTTCCACTCCTCATGTTCCATCCTCTCTTCCTCTGCCCGCCTCACTCGCTTCTGCCCACTGCTCTCCCCTGTCATTCCCTCATCCAACGCCCCTTGCTGCAGTCTCCGCTTGACTCCCGCCGCTGGTGACATATTTTCTTCACTGTTGGACCGCCCCAACAAGTCTGCACCTCTTCCCCATTCACGTGGACCCTCCTCCCTTTGCGAAGCCTTTCCTACGAATTGCCGCTTCTCATTGTCCCCTTCACGCCCTGCTTCCTCTCCCCCGCTTTGTCCCCGACTTAGCCCATGCAGCCCGTCACCCTCCCCCACTCCTCTCGCCCCTTCCCACCACCCTGCCCTGGGCTCCTCCCCCTCATGCCCGCCTTCATGCCCGCCCTCATGCCCGCCTTCATGCCCGCCCTCATGCCCGCCTTCATGCCCGCCTTCATGCCCCTGCCCCTCTTCACCCGCACCATCCGCCCCACAACCCAGGTCACTGCTACCCGCCTTAGACTCCCACCCACATCCGTCCGCATCCCCACCATCACCACCGCCAGCCATCCCCCCATCTGCATCCGCCTCCCGCACCTTTCCACCCACCCCTCCCCCCTCCATCCCTCTTGTGTCCCCTCCCCCCTCCATCCCCCTTGTGTCCCCTCCCCCCTCCATCCCTCTTGTGTCCCCTCCCCCCTCCATCCCCCTTGTGTCCCCTCCCCCCTCCATCCCCCTTGCGTCCCCTCCCCCCTCCATCCCCCTTGTGTCCCCTCCCCCCTCCATCCCCCTTGTGTCCCCTCCCCCCTCCATCCCCCTTGTGTCCCCTCCCCCCTCCATCCCCCTTGTGTCCCCTCCCCCTCCATCCCCCTTGTGTCCCCTCCCCCCTCCATCCCCCTTGTGTCCCCTCCCCCCTCCATCCCCCTTGTGTCCCCTCCCCCCTCCATCCCCCTTGTGTCCCCTCCATGCCTCATCTCGGTGAAGACAGCTGGGTTAGTGACGTCAGGAGAAGGTATGGTAGCCTCAGCAGCCGGGAGCGGGAACAGTGGCGTGGTGACATCAACAGTGACCTGGCGCAACGAGGGCGGCATGCACTCTCGGAGGGCGGCGCACATGCCACGTGGGCTGTCCAGGATGGCCTGCCACACGCGCCTCGCCTCCTGCAGCTGCTGCAGCCGCCGGTGGGACAGAGGCAGCTCGGAGCCCGGGGCAGGGGTAAGAGTGGAGTGGAGGGTGTTGAGAGGGGTGGTAGTTTGGGAGGAATTGTGGGCAGGAGGTTGGTGGGAGGAGGAGGGGTTGGGCAGTAGTTGCAGAGGTGACTGCTTGGTTTCTGGGTCCACTGCTGCTTCTGAATCTTGGGGTTCATTTGTAGGGGCTGCACTATGCACGGCATCTTGAGCTGTAACCACAGCTGTGGCGACAGCTCCTGGTGGAAAGGGGGTGGCAGCATGAGCAGGCGTGGCATCAGCAGCAGCAGCAGCAGCAGCAGCAGCAGCAGCAGCAGCAGCAGCAGCAGCAGCAGGTATGGCAGGAGCAATGGCCGGGGCAGCACGAATGGAGGTAGCTGTAGGGAAGGGAGCGGCGGCAGCAAGAGGCAGGGGAAGGGTGGCAGCAGAGGCGCCGTTCAACGCCCTCCTCCTCATTGCCATCCCCATGCCCTGCCCCCTCCTCGCTGCCCCCACCACGCCCATACGACCTGCTGCCCCACCCTTCTCAACCACACCATCTCTGCACGCCATGCGACCCATGCCACTCAGCCCACTAACCCCACCCACACTCCCCGCATGCCCCAAGTCGCCCCTGCCACCCCTGCCACCCACGTCTCCCGCACCACCCAGCATGCCCACAGCGCCCAGGGGTCTCCTGCCCCCCACGCGGCCCAGGGCGTCCACGCCATCAGCAGCGCCCGCACTCCCCATGCCCGGGAACACAACGGGCGGCAGGCAGCGCGGCGTGGGGGAGAGAGGCGAGAGCGCAGGCGACCACAGCAGGCGTGGGCGGGCTGGGGAGAATGCCGGTGCTGCTGCTGGTGCCACTGCTGATGCAGGTGCTTCTGGTGATGCTGCGATTGCTGCCCCAGCAGGGGCGGTTGCTGGTTGCAGTAACCCCGCTGCTTCCACTGTCCCTGCTCCCCTCACCCGACCTGCCGCCTCCACCGCTGCTGCTGCTGCTGCTGCTGTGTGGCCCAGCAATGGCGCAGCCTGAGATTCCTCAACCACGCCTGCCAGCAAACGGTTTTCCCAGTCCCTCCCACATACCCCAGCCCTCTGCTGTCCTCCCTTATCCATAAGCCCCTCCCCACTGATGTCCGTGCCCTCCCCACCCCCCCCTTTGTCGTCTTCCCCTGTCCCCATGCACCCCGCCACGGCAACTGCCACGGCCACTGGTAGCTGTCGGTGCACAGGAGAAACCGTGTCCCTCTCCCTGCCACCACTGCACCCCCACATGCCCGCAGCCAGGCCCTCGCCTGCCGTCCCCAGTGCAGCCTGCTCTAAGCCCTGCTGCGAGCCATCAAGCGCTCCTCCACACTCTTTCTCGCCTCCTGCGTCACCCTTGTCCACTTGAATACACTTGGACTGCTGCTGCTGCTCCCGCTGCTGCTGCTCCTCCTGCTGCTGCTGCTGCTGCTGCTGCTGCTGCTGTTGCTGCAGCAGCAGCAGCGACAGTGCCACTGGCGAATACATTGGCGGTTTCCTCGCCTCCTCTATCCCCACCGCGCCAACTCGCTCCCCCTCATCTTCCTCAATGCGTCTGCAGAACAGAGGCCTCCTGGCAGACGCGGGTGTGCGCTCAGCCAACGGTGTGCACTTGGAAAGCGACGTGCGTTTGGACACGGGCGTACGTTCGCCCATGCATGGCGCACCGGCAGGTGAGGCGGCAGTGGAGGGCGAGCAGCGGGTGCCGGACACACTCTGCTCCGGATCCAACTCGCTCTCGTGCTGCCGCTGGCTGTGCTGCTGCTGGCTGCGCTGCTGTGTGCCAGACTGCTGCTCCTGCCCACCGCCCTGCTGCTGTGGCTCACCATGAAGCGCAAGCAGCAGCAGCTTCCCCTGCTCGTCACAGGCAGAAGCAGCCGCAGCAGTAGGACCAGCAGCAGGAGCAGCAGCAGCAGCAGCAGGAGAGGGCGCAGTCCCTCCTCCCTCTGCGCCGGTGACCTCATCTGCTAGCGCCACGAGGATCTCTGCGTCAAAGGCGGCTTCCACCGCGCCCAGATTCACTGAACCGCACGGGGAGGAGCCCTGGGGCGTGTCCAGGTACGGTGGAAGCCACAAGCGCTGAAGCTCGCCCGCCTGCCTTGCCCCCTCTTCCCTCTCCTGCCACTCTCCCCGCATCCCCTCCTCCTGCCCTCCTTCCTCGCCCTCTCTCCCACCCTCTTCCCTTCTCTCCGCCTCTGCCCCACCAGGTCCCTCCCACTCCATGTCGCCCCCGGCACTCCCTCCTTCCGCCATGCCGCCTGTCAGCATCAGAGCGCCCTCTTCATAGTCACAGCTGTCAATGCCACCATCTTGAGCTGACTGGAGGAGGTTTGGTCTTTCGTTAGAGTCCCAAGCCGCAGAGGGACGATGGTGGGTTCCATTCGCGTTACAAGCCAGGGTGCTGCTCCTACGGAGAGCCAGGTCTCGCGCGTTGCTGCCGCACAGGGGGGACACAGCAAGGCGCCGCTGCTGCTGCTGATGCACAGGCTGCTGCAGCTCATACTGCCCTTGCCAACCCTGCTTCTGCGGCTGCTGCTGATACTGCCCTTGCAAACCCTGCTTCGGCTGCTGCTGCTGCTGCTGCTGCTGTTGCGGCTGGTGAGAGGCGGGCAGCACATGGGAGCAAGTGTGCAGCAGCGCCCCGTGAGGCTGGCCTTCAGGCAGCACAAGGAGCGAGTGGGCAGAGCTCACAACCGTGCCCGCCCCGTGCCCTGCACTGCCTCCTGCCTGCGCTCGTACCGCTGGCATGCAGGCAGGCAGGGACTTGCACGTGGGTAGGGGCACAGGCGCGGGCAATGTGACAGGCGCTGGCACACAGTGGCTCCAGGGGGTGTTGTTCCCGGACGCGGACATGGGAGCTGGTACACGCATGGAGGCTGCTGCTGCTGCTGGTGCTGGTACTGGTGCGGACATGTAAGCTGGTAGGGCGTGGGTCACTAGAGTAGGTGCGGTTAGAGCGGTGTGGGCATGCATGGCAGTGCAGCGGGGCGGGGGGATGCATGGAAGGGCGGCGAGGGGAGTGGCGTTGGATGAGGACAGGGGCCTGCGCATGGCGAGGCCCAAGGGATGGGCGGCCAGGGGCATGGGCTGGTCTGATGGCGGGACTGGATGGGGCAGGCACATGGGGGATGAAGTCAGCAACTGCTGCGAGCTCACTCGTCTCACCCCGTTCACCTGGTTGACCCCATCGACCCTGTTGACCCCGTTGTTCTGGTTGACACTGCCATACAAACCGCCAGCATCAGCAGCAGCAGCACCTGCAACCGCAGCCCCTGCTGAGGCTGGCCCGTACGCGCCTCCGTCGCTTTCGCCTGCGCCTGCTGTGCTTGCCCCTCTCCCGCGTGGCCCTCCCCCGCCCTCTATGAATCCCAGCGCGTTCAGCTGCTCCAGCAGAGGCGAGTGCCCCACGCCTGCGCCGAGGTAGTCAGGGAGAGACGATGCGGGCAACGACATAGCAGGTACTCCAGCAACCAGCGGAGCAGCAGCAGCAGGAGTGCTCACCGAGGCAGCACGTGTCCCTGCGCGAGGCCCAGCACCTGAGTCCCCCGCTCGCAGCAGCGCAGGCGCACACCCCGCTTGCGAGACCATTTGCACGGGTGGAAGGCTCGTGCCTGCACTCTCTGTTGGCCCAGCGCGGCTCAGCATGGGCGTGGCAGTGGGAGGAGCAGAGGGTGCCGCAGAAAGAGGTCCCCTGAGAGGAGCAGCGAGGGATGCAGTGGCTGGTGCAGTGGCGTGCGGCAGAGGCATTGAGAGCAGGGACGAGGACGAAGCAGACGTCTTTAAGTAGGAGAACGAGGGGACAGACGAGGGCAGGGGCGCCAGCAAAGAGGGTCGGGGGCCCGGCAGCGAGGGCGACTTGAGGAGAGCCGCGGGGTGCATGCCGCTGCTGCTGCTGGCGCTCGCTGCGTTCACTGCTGACGCTGCCCTGGAAAACGCTCGAGCGCCCAGGTTCGTTTGAGAAGCAGCAGGTGGTGCTGCTTGCACCGTGGATGGGCGCAGCAACAGTATTGGTGACGCTGCTGCTGATCCTGATGCTGCTGCCGCTGCTGCTGCTGCAGCTGCTGCTGGTGCTGGAGTCATCATAAAATGTCCGGCACACACCAGCGCTTGCTCCTCCTTCTCACCCTGCCCCTGCTGCTGCGCCGCTTGCTCTTTCTCCCCCTCCCCCTCTCCCTCCGCCGTTTCCCCCTCCTCCTCTCCACCCATCTCCCCCACGCCTCCACCATTCACCCCTCCTCCCCCTCCTCCACCACCCTCTCCATCCCCCCCGTCCCGCGCAGCCACAGCAGCGGCTTTCACTCTCCGCTGCATCCTCTTCCTATAAGAGTTCCAGAAGTTCTTGATGGCGTTGTCGGACCGCCCAGGCATGTGCTGCGCCATGAGCGCCCACTTGTTGCCGAACCTCTTCTGCAGCTGGATCACCTGCCGCTGCTCCGCCTCTGACAGCGGCCCCGGGCGGATGGCGGGGCTCAGGTGCTTCACCCACCGCAGCCGGCAGCTCTTGCCCGACCGCGCCAGGCCCGAGCGCGTGGCGATGGTGGTCCAGTTGCCCTCGCGGAAGCGGTGCACGCACTCCACCAGGATCGCGTCCTCCTCCGCCGTCCACAGACCCTGGGGGGAAGATGGGGGGCGGAGAGGAGGGCAGTTTAGAGGAGGAGATGAGTGGGCGAGGCTGGATCTGATGGCCACTTCCTCGGCCGTCCACAGGCCCTGAAGGAGAGGAAAGGGAGAGGAGATAGGTGGGGAATTTGGAGTAAATGAGAGGGGACGAGAGAGTAAGGAGTGGTCGGGAGTACAGAGACAGGCGTGTGGAGATAGGACGAGATGGTGGGATGAAACGGGAGTCGCATCAGGGAAGAATGGGGTGACCCTTCAGATGCTTCAGCGATCTACGCTCACTCCCAGAAACAAGGGAAGCAAGGGCACGTGAGATTGGAAACAAGGGCACGTGAGATTGGAAGCAAGGGCACGTGAGATTGGAAGCAAGGGCACGTGAGGTTGGAAGCAAGGGCACGTGAGATTGGAAGCAAGGGCACGTGAGATTGGAAGCAAGGGCACGTGAGATTGGAAGCAAGGGCACGTGAGATTGGAAGCAAGGGCACGTGAGATTGGAAGCAAGGGCACGTGAGATTGGAGGCAAGGGCACGTGAGATTGGAAGCAAGGGCACGTGAGATTGGAAGCAAGGGCACGTGAGTTTGGAAGCAAGGGCACGTGAGATTGGAAGCTAGGGCACCCCTCAGAAGAAGCCATGAAGGGGCGCGCACCTTCTTCAACTCGCTATCGCCCGCCGCACCACCGTCACCGTCGCCAGCGCCATCACCATCAGCATCAGCGTCGCCACAGCCGCTGTTGCTGTTGCTGTTGCTGTTGCTGCTGTCACCTTCCTCCGCAGCAGCAGCGGCAGCCGCGGCGGCCCTGTCGCGCGCATCATCGTCCGTCATAGCGTCGCCTGCCACTTCGTCGCCAGCCCCAACGTGTCCCCCCCCCCGTGGTCCACAGAATGCGCGGATCCGAAGCAGCGTCAGGAATCCGGAGTGACTAAGGTTGCAGAGTCTGGCTCTTAACTCGCGGTTAGTGTAAATCAAAGGAACCGGCTTCCGAAAACATAGATCCACGGGCTATCTGGGAGCGCCAATGAGGTGAAGATGGCGGGAGGAACGAAACCGGCAAGGCGGACGCAGGGGGGAGGGATCGACGGCTACGGACGGAGTAGATCAGACCTGCGGAATAATCGTAACTGCAGGGCCGAGGGAGTGTTGTGGTGCTTCGGCTTAGCACGCGGAGACGTTCCTAGTGTTGCGGCCCAACGCGTGATCGGTGCGAGTTCTCGCACAGGTTCGCTACTCGCGAGTCTGCGGGTTGAATCTGCCAATACGAGAGCCACAACTTGGGGGAGATCCCTCCAGTGCCGTCCACAGGCGTGAAAGCCTCCAGCCCGCCATAGAGGACCCACCGGACGGGTACTAAAAACCACATCCGGCGCCTGGGAGCACGGAATCGCGCAGCTTTAGCCTAGCGATTTAGGGCTGCCATGGCGTGATGCCACGATGGCATGGAATGAACGATGCGGAACCGAAACGATCATGGTGGCTCCTGATGCCTCTGCATGTGCACCTCCGCCCGTCCCGCTGCCCTCCCGCGCTCCCTCGCCTCGCCTCGAGGGATGAAAAACCATCCCTCGTCACCCCACCTCCCCCCGTGATAAGAGCCTCTCACGCCTCCGCCAGGCTCCGCCCTCCAGTCGCGCGCGCGATAACGGCGCGCGCAAGGAACCCAGCAAGCAGGCATCTGGATCGCCCCTCTGCCGCGCGCGGGGAAGACTCCGCGGTGAGCATCGCTGTCGGCGATGCATCGGCCCTGCGGGGCGCCGTAGGATGCGGCGGAGGCAAGGTGCGGAGAGCCGCAGGAGAGGGCGGGAAGGGGCGGGGAGAGCCCACCAGTGTGGAACGGATGGCGGATCGCAGCGGCGCTGATTCTGCTCGCGCGGGAATATCTCCTCGCCGAGGCGCTCGTGGGAGGAGCTGTAAATGCTAGGACCAACTGTCGGCGGATGGGAAACAACCGTTTGTCGAAAGATCTCCGCGCCAGTGGCGTGAGTGAGCGCGAGGCATGGAGGGAAGGTCAGCAGGTGGAATGGCCCTGGCAAGGCCTGTGCTGGATGGGCGCAACGCGAGTCGGGTTGAATACGACCAATCGCTGGGCAATCTGTTTACTCCTTGTCAACGATCGAGGTGAGTCAAACGCTTGCGAAAACTGACGCGACGACGGTTCCAATTCCACCACTGCAGCCTAGCGCCGATGGCAGAAGATGTCGCAGAGTCAACGCACCAACTGAAGGAGCTCAACCGCCAAGAATGAGCTGGGAACGAAGACGACGACACAGCATTTCATCAACTGGTTCAATCAAGCCACCACTGTCCCCCACATAGCGATGATGACTGCTCAAAAGATCAGGGAGGGAGGAAAGATCAAGGGTAGGGCTCACAAAAGAGCACTAGGGCAGTTGCAGTTGAAGCTAGGGTGCATGTCTCTCGCTAAGCCCCAGGGTATTCCGGAAGGGGACAGAATCGCCTCTGATAACCCATTAACAGACGGAATCCCCCCCCAAAAAAACCCGTACCAAAAGGAATCCGCCGGTAGAAATCAGGCTAGCAAGGAATCGAGGGGGGGGGGGGGGGGGGTTGGAGGGGTTGGGGTTGGGGGGGTGGGGGGAAGGTCGCTACCCCCTACAGATTGCCCTACTACAAGTATAGCCCGTACGGATTCAATAAAAAAATTACTCGTTAGGCTAAGGAATCGAGCGAATCGTTTCCGTAAGTTGGACGGATTCGAAAAACAGTCGCACCGGGAAAAAAACGGAATCGCTCGAAACATTACTCTAAATTTCTTGACACTAAGCGTAATTACACGGTTAGCAAGAGGCCTGTTCCCTTCCAGTCCTCTCGCTAAGCCCCAGGGCATTCCGGAAGGGGACGGAATCGCCCCTGGATTACCCGTCAATAGACGGAATTCTTTCCAAAAAAACCGTTGCCGAAAGGAATCGGCCCCTACAAATTCGGCACTATTGAATCAAAGGCGGGAGGGAGAGGGGGGGGGGAGGGGGGGGGGGGGGGGGTTGGGGGGGGGGTTGGGATTGTGGGGAATGGCTACCCCCTTACAGATTGCCCTGCTACAAGTATAGCCCGTACGGATTCGGAAAAAAGTCACTCTTTAGGCTAAGGAATCGAGCGAAATTGTTTCTGCAAGTTGGACGGATTCGGAAAAAAATCGCACCGTAAAAAAACAGAATCACTCGAAACAGTACTCTAAAATTCTCGACATTAAGGGTAATTGCCCTGTTAGCGAGAGGCCTACTAGGGTGTACCGCACAGGCTAGGCCTAGTAGCGGGGCTGACTAAAGTGAAGGGAATGCGGGACAGAATTTGGCGAAAGAAATGTTGGCAAATTGTAAGGAAATGGCATTTCCTTATCACTGGTTTTAGTTAGTAAGGCGCACACTGCTATAATGGTGTTCCCACGCAGCTCTGCCACGAAATTCAAATCGCGGCACCCAAATGTGGTCTCCTGATGAGCCGCATGCATTTTTCCCGCCTTGCTGTTTCATGCCTAGATATGGGCGCTTCGCGCCAATTGCAAACCACACATCTCAGCTCTGCCGAGCCTCGACCGCATGCTCTAGGCCTAGCTATATCCATGCTCCCATCTGTTTTGATGTTGCCTCATTGTTTTGTTTCCTCGCTACTCAATTATTCAACATACGCTCTTTGCGCTTCATTACACCTGGCCATCAGAGCCAACGATCCTTAGCCTTGCGCTCTAGTTCCGCTGCAATACCGACACTTGGAAAGGCTGACGCTCTGTGCTTACTACAGAATCAACCCTAAGACCCAATTGATTTTTGAGGTTTAAAATTTTTAGGAAGTCCCGCCCAAAGATCAAGTCAAGCCCTCTTATGTTGGTGATGGGGAGGGCAGGTTTACAGTGCAGTGGTCAGATTTGCAGGGGTAACACTGCTTCGTCGTAGACTAGTAACTTGCTGCCATCCACCGTCGTTGCAGAGAATGCTTAAAGCTTGCACACATCCCAAATTCGGTCGATCGCCGCCTTATCGTGGGGACGCTCCATGGAAAGGTCGGCTCCTTTCCACACTAAAAAAATTCCCCAAGTTCTCCAGTACCGTTACAATCTCAACAATTTTATGTTTCTTTTGGAGTCCCTCCCGAATTTTTCTCCAAGGCTCAAGCCCCCCGAGAATCATATTTTTTTCAGTAAAGCATCTCTATAAGATAACTTTACCGAATCCTTATAACTTCCTAGGTCTTCCAGGAGTTTCCTCATCTTGGCAGGGTATTTTTTTCGAGGAGTTCGAATTTTTCTTTGCTATTTTCCTTGGCGAGGACTGGTCGTGGGGTGGAGATTTTCCCCCATCATTTCCTCTTGCTCGTGCCGAATCAGCTTCGTCGAAGTTGGTTTTCCCGGAATTCCTGTGGCTGCTTTCGAAATTTCTGATTGATCGAAGAATTCCCTCCACAGCTGTGCATCTGATACTCTACACGCGCAGCCTTAATTTTGTGGCAGTCGAAGATTCGATGACCCAGCACCCCGCAAAAACCACACGTGAAATTGGCATTTTTCGGACCTGGCCGCTCATCAAATTTGTCGATCTCCATCGGATCGGCGAACATGGGGTGTGCCGAGAGGTCGCCCTGTCGCGTTGCTGCCAATCCACTCGAGTGCTGGCCCTCGCAATTCGCAGCCCCAGAACCAGCACCCCCAACACCAACACCTCCAACACAAGCACCCCCAATACCAATACCTGCAATACCAGCACCCCCTGAGCCCACTGCCCCTTGCTGCTGCTACTGCTGCTGCTGCTACTGCGGCCGCTGAGCCTGTTGCGGTGGTTGCGGCTGCTGCTGAGGCAAGGGGGGAGGCAGCTGAGGTGTCTTGGGTACCGAGCCTGGGAGAGGCGCCACAGTGACAGCAGGCGAGGCCCCAGCAGCTGGGCCCCCAGAGTGAGCTGAATCCCCCACGGGCCCGACTGAGGGGAATGGAGTGGCGTGGGAGACACCAGACGGGGCCGGGCGGGGTGGGAGGGGTATGGCAGTCGGGGCATGGACGACGAAGAGAGGGGGAGGAGGCACAGGAGCGTTGCAGTGAGGGAAGCGCCTATATTAGGGAGCTTCTCAGCAAAGGTAACGTCAAGAGAGTGGTAAAAGCGGTGGTTTGACGGGCGGTAGAACAGATAGTCAAGGGTGTCAAGTAGAAACCCTAGGAAGACACAAGGAAGGTTGCGGGCTGAGAGATTGTCCATGCAAGTAGCGCGGACGTGAGCAAGGCTGCCCCATACGTGAATCACTGATGCGTCACTAGGAGACCCAGTCCAAAGAAGGGTCGGTGAAACCTGTGGCCGCTGGGAGCGCTACTACGGGTTACTAAACGCTGGTGAGCAGCGTAGCGCAATGCGAACGGCAAAAAAAAAAGGGATGCACCGACGTGGACCATGGAGATGCGAGCTACCTCCATGACCAAGCCGATGCGCCACTCAGCGACCCCATTCTGCTGTGGGGAGTTTGGCAGTATGTAAGTCTGGCGGATGCCCTCCTCACGACAGAGCTGCTTTAGACGGCCAGAGATGAACTCGCCACTACGGTCACAGTGTAAGCGAACTATAGGTAGGCGGTGCCGGGCCAATTAGAAAGAAGCCACAAGAGGAGAACGGTAGGAACGTCGGCCTTCCACTCCAATGATAACACTATGGTGAACCGCGAGAATTCGCCAACGACGACTAGGAAGTACTGTGACGGAAACAATTGTCAGTTTTTTTTTGCATTAATTAGGGTTTTTGGGCTTTCGAACCACTGTACATAAATTCTTAATAATAAATGGTGGTATGCTTTGGGAGGGGCACATAGTGGATGTGTTCACAATGCCAAAATCCATAATAGTATACTGGATCAGGTTGTGCCAAAAGATATACAAAGAGTGCATCCGGACAATTATTTCCCAGGACATTGAGCAAACATTCGTGCAGCGTTTCTATTACCTAGTCCACCAACACTTGGCCTTGATCACCAGCTGCACCCTCCTAGGCATGTTATCTACGAGGTTAGTGCAAATCTTTACAGGGATCTTCTCGCACTCTACCTGGACCCACCCTTTTGCATAAGGGGGTGAGCACCAGGAAAATCGCGAAATATTTGAGCGTATGCAATAGTATTGTGCACGAGTTCAGATTGAATGTTATCTCTGAGACTAGCCATGCTGAGGTGTGGCCAAAGATGTCATAAGTCGATTAGTCTCATCTTATCATGGATCATATTCGTCGTACTGTTGTAGGGTAAAATTACGAGCAGAGTGGCGAAAACTAGCGTGTCCGCCGCGAAACGTAGGGTAGCATAGCACGGTCGATTGTGCACCCTTTCACTAATAGAATCACATTAAATCTATGGATCTCGTCACAATGCAGCAGTCGAAGAAGCCCCGACTGGTGGGGAAGAATATCCAGGTTGAGGTCTGGTGAGGATGAGGGTCACTCGAGTGCTATAAACTCATGCTCTCCAAGCCATTCCAAGCCTAGGCAGGACACATGGCTTGGAATGGCTTGGAGAGTATGAGTATGTTGCGCTGGAGTGACCCTTTTCCTCACCAGACCTCAACCTGGATATTCTTTCTGAACAGTCGCGGCTTCTTCGACTGCTGCACCGTGACGAGACCTATGGATCCTAGCATGATTCTAATAGTGCAAGGGTGCACAGTCGACCGTGCTATGTTACCCTAAGTTTCGTGGCAGATACGTTAGTTTTTGCCACTCTGCTCGTAATTTTACCCTACAACGGTATGAGGAAGACGATCTGTGATAAGACGGAGTCAATTGACTTATGGCATCTTTGGCCACACTTTAGCGTGGCTAGTCTCAGAGATAACATTCTGTCAGAAATCGTTCAAAATACTCTTGCATAAGCTCAAATCCTTCACAATTTTTCCTAGTACTTACCCCCTTATGCAAAAGCGTGGGTCCAGGAAGAGTGCGAGAAGATCCCTGTAAAGGTTTGCACTAAACCCGTAGATAACATGCCTAGGAGGGTGCAGGTGGTGATCAAGGCCAAGTGTTGGTGGACTAGGTACTAGAAACGCTGCGCGAAACTTTGCTATTTGTCCTGCAAAATAATTGTCCGGATGTACTCTTTATATATCTTTTGGCACTAAGTTAGATCTAGTGTACTATAATGGATCTTTTTGCTGTGAACACATCCACTATGTGCCCCTCCCAAAGCGTACCACCATTAA